GTTTAGTGTAGCTTTGTTGAGAGCTCTTAGTGAATAATGACCTAGCCTCTTATGACGACTAAAATTGTTGGGACAGTTGACTTGCAACCCTTATAGAGCTAGAGCAAAATTGCATTACGCCGTTTGTTATACTAATCAATTGCTTTAGTATTTTGTAGTGTTTTTAAATAGGCTATTTACTCCCTCTAACCATATTAAGACATTTCACCCGTTCAACTACAGAAACCAAGTCTAGATTGGAAAATTTAGGAGCGGCAATAAATATAAGAGAACTCTAAAGAAAAATAAATAGGTTGGCATACCATTCGTCCTCCTAGAAACTGATTTATTTGTAGACATAATTTTTATTAGAAATCTATGTATTCATTGACAGAGAAATGCTTATTTAAAACATTATTATTCTGTCTCATCGCTTCGGTTTGGGCCCCATGTTTGCTTCCTCCTTCATTTCTGCCACGCCGAGCAGTTTTTGGATCACCACTCCGTCGCTCATGTGCATCTTAATTTCTTTCTTCCGATTTTGACTCGTTTGTTCGTCTGTGCTACTGGTTCGTTCCAAATTACAAGTTGTTTCGTCTCTTACTAAATATATTACTTTTTATAATATATTTTATTATAATTCATATTTAAGTGGATGCTAAAACGTCTTATAATTTGAAATGAATGGGTACCTTGAAACTACGAAGCTCAGTTCAGCGGATTAATAAATTCGTTCTATGAGTAAGCAAATTAATTTTGTTCCACAAGTACTCCATCCATTTTAAATTATATGATATTTGGCTTTTCTAATATCTTATTTTTTTTATCTCTAGACATAATGTGTATCTAAGTGCACAATACAAGTTATATGTACGTAGAAAAGTCAAAACTCCTTTTAATTGAAATGGATAGAGTACTAATAAGTACTTAGAATACTATACTAGCAACATGCTTCCCTCGCGCGATGGTGACCTACCTACCTGCTCCAATTCAATATTATTTCTAGAACTTTTTTAAACAATAGAAATATTTAAATTTATCCTCAAAATAGAGGGATCAGCTCACACTTATCATAGCAAAGTTGCACACTCAAACCTTGAAGCCTAACCAGGACCAGAAGGCTTGTTCAGCCAGAAGAAATCTTGATTTGACATATTCTATCATTTTTAGAACCCTCTTGGTATCCTAAATAAAGAAATTATTATATCTTACTTAAGTTAGAAAACATTGTCATTTGCTGACATTGACACAAACATACGATTCACGTGAAATGTTGACACCCCACCTAGAATATATCCGGTGAAATTCAACAAGGCGATGCATCGGGAAATCGTTTCTTTATCTTAAATAAATTAATAATAAAAGTTCATTCATCTCAACTTCATAAGGATTTTTAAGAAAAAAAAAACTTAATAAGGATGGCTCTAATTGTTTAGGGAAAGCCACGCTCTTTATTGATGGAGTTGGTCATATGAGTTACAAATGCCAAAAGATGGTTCTAACAGCCTGTATCAAAAGAAATCAACTCCTAACTAAAGTATAAGCATCAATATTGGAATGTCTACTCTCGTGAGCAAAATCAACATAATGAAAATCACGAGCCCTGCCCCTAATCTCCTTCACAACTTGGCCATAATGACCCATGCCTGTTTCTGATAGCTTTGGCACAATCAGATGCCAAAAACTATGTGGAACCACCGAGGCCTCCGAGTCTGAACTTTTGCCTTTGCAGTCTGGATCGGCTTGAATGCTTGAAGTTCAACAACATATTTGTCGACAAAAACTATGTGTCGATAGCAGGCTATGAAAAATATTTTCATAGATCGCCTTCCTTCTTACGTGCCAAATTGCCCACGTAGTCAGCAACACCTGATTGAGATCAGTACGGGGCATTGGCTATCAGATTCACCAACCGATAAGGATGGCTCTGAAGGGATGACAACGATGAAGAAGTACCGCTGGGCCTAGGAGCTGACTACGAGGGGCTGGCCCAGATCATATTCCAGCCCAACCAGAGCAGTACAAACTCACCTGACCCGGCCCAGATAAGACTAGCCCAATTCACCCGTTTCCTTCCTTCCTCCTGCTACCCAGGCCCAGGCCCAGGCGAAGACCGCAGACCTAAGCAGCCGCTCTTAAAAAAAAAAAAGGAAAAAGGAAAAAACAGACAGGCAGCCCCAAACCTCCTTCCCTTGGACTCGACTCGCCGCACCCATCCCATCCGCCGCCGCCGCCGCCGCCATGGCCGACGAGATCGACACGAGGCCGGCCTCCGCGGGCTCCCGGGGCCGCCCCGCGCACGCTACGGAGGACGACGACAGGGAGGAGGGCGAGATCGCCGACGACACCCCCGCGCCCGCCCTCCCCGCCACGCACCCGCTCGAGCACTCGTGGACCTTCTGGTTCGACAACCCGCAGGGCAAGAGCAAGCAGGCCGCCTGGGGGAGCTCCATCCGACCCATCCACACCTTCTCCACCGTCGAGGACTTCTGGGGGTGCGTCCGATTCTCTCCCGCCCTCATCTTTACCTCCTGCCCCTCATCTCATCCCAAACCCTCGTTACCTGTACAACTACTGGTAGTCTGGTACATGTCTCTAGATTCACAATATACGAGCCAAATCTGCCATGGTTCACGGATCTCGGATCTCTAGATTAGTTAATGCATTAGTTTCTGACTCTGCTTAATCCATAGTATTATTATTCAACGCTAGTCTCTAGAACGGGGAAGATCAATATTGACGACATAGTTGCTGTCTCAACTTCGTAGCCTTCCATGCCTTGCAAGACGCCTGCCTCTCTGAAACAGATATTGATTTGCACAAGTTTTGTGCTGAACTAGTGTCTGTCTCAAGTTTTGTGCTCCACTAATTAAGCCATTTAGAGGTTACCCCAAAACCACGCAGAACTGTTGTTCTGATGTTGCCAGCTGTCTCTATACTTTTACATGCGCCCCCCCCCCCCCCCTGCCTATATCGTGCATATTAGCCTTCTCATTTGTCATATTAGAAGCAGCTGTTGATCAATCTTACACTTTTTTTCAGTTTCATTCATGTGTATGAACTCTTTGTTGGGTAAGCATGGTATGTTGCCATACTCAACAGCCTGTTCTCCAGTCCTACCTGCTAGTCCTTGCTCACCCGAGTTTGTTGTTCATACTCAAACACAAGCCTTGCCAAGTGCCCAAGTCTATGGTTGATATTAAGTCAAAGTGACGCCCACCTCATGGCTCTAGTTTATATAAGCAATTCAGTCTCTGTCATGATGCAAAATCTGTAACATATGTTTTTTAGTCTTCAGAATCAGAGATTCAATTTAATCCGCTGAACTGAGCTTCATAATTTACTGGCCCTCTTGCTTGTCGTTTCCTTTTTTTTCACAGTCAAATTTCGTAATAGCTGTTGTTTGGGATTGCAAGTTGGAAGCTCTGATATTTAATAACCCTTCCTCTCTTCCTTCTGAATTCTGATGAGTGCTCTTGGTCTAATTTCGTGTCAGACATCTGTTGATCTTTGCTTTGGTCCTTGTGTCCCCATCCAACTTTACCTTTCATCTATAAATATATTCCAACTAATGGATCTGTGGTTTCTCAGCCTTTACAATAATATTCATCACCCTAGCAAGTTGCCCATGGGAGCTGACTTCCATTGCTTCAAGAACAAGATTGAACCAAAATGGGAAGACCCTATTTGTGCTAATGGCGGTAAATGGACCATCAGCTGTGGAAAAGGAAAATCTGACACGCTGTGGCTTCACACCGTAAGCAATTCTATTTTATTATCAGAAAAAAGATAATTTTGCTCTGCTCATCTCTCCTTATTACACCCTACAGTCCTCCACCCTTATACTCTTTCAATTTTGTTTCATGTAGCTGTTGGCTATGATTGGCGAACAATTCGACTATGGTGATGAAATTTGTGGAGCAGTCGTCAGCGTGCGTGGCAAGCAGGAAAGAATAGCTATCTGGACAAAAAATGCTGCTAATGAAGCTGCTCAGGTACGAGTGCTGCAGTCACATCTCTGTCTAAATGCCTGTACAAGAGCTTGTTTCCTTTCTCCTATCCAATCATCAGACTTTTATGATAATTTACGGTGTCATGATAAATACTTGTACAACAACTTAAATATTTTTCCTTGTTTACGAATAATATACTTTTGTTCTGATAATTACAATATTATCATACATGCAAAAGGCCAAGTTTGAGTTATGCGTGTTATGTTATTAATTAATGTAACCCTGATATATGAAAGAATAATGAGGAAAACAGAAGGGGGTCATGACTGGGGATTCAACTGGTAGTTGGCATTTCCATGGTCCTGTACGAGGCCCAGGAAATTGTTGAGAATTGTTTTTTGACACCATGATTAGCAGTAAATTGTTTTTTGGTTATGTAACTTCATTTGGATCCGGAACATTGTTAAGCATCCTCCTAACAAGCTTGACATAAGGTGTTGAACATGTTCCCCTTCCTTTCAGATAAGCATTGGGAAGCAGTGGAAGGAATTCCTGGATTACAAGGACTCCATTGGATTCATTGTTCATGTGAGAAGTGCTTAAGCTACCCCCTCTCTTGTCAATGCCCTGGGTAAGGTGTGCCGATTCTCACTTGGCCCTCTTTGGCTGCAGGACGATGCAAAGAAGGCGGACAAGGGACTGAAGAACCGTTACACGGTTTGATCCTGTTGCTGGAATCCCAGAGAGTAGCATGCCCACATGTAGGGTGGTCCTATCCGATGCAGACATGCAGTAGCATCTTGCAGAGTGTTGAAGGTTGTCTATTTGCTGAGTAGTTGCTTAAGCATAATCTAACATGTTGAATGTATTCCTGTATGTTTGTTCCATAAACATAATCTAACACTCGGGTGTTGTTTCATCTCCCTGCTCCGCCTCTGCATAATTTTGCTGTGGATTTAAGCTTCTAGTTGTTGAGTTCAGCATGCTGTGCTTATATAAAACTGAACAGTGGGAATAATATGTATACCGTATGAGTATGGCGGAAGCCTTACAAGTACACATGCTCGCTCATCCAAACACGGCGAGCAGCACGGCTGCCAAGGCGACCGAGAGTGCGGTGATGCGTGGCGGAACCCTGGCAGCATCCCACCGGAGGAACATCCCCTCCAGCAGCGGGTAGCTGAGCGCCGCGCCGTAGCACATGAGGAACAGCTGCGGGAGCAGCTCGCCGGCGAATTGGAAGCCGCCTGACGACGTCATCTTCCAGGTGCTGGCGACGATGGCCACGGCGTTGAGCACGGAGAGCGTGGTGGCAGGGAGCAGCAGCGTGGAGCAGCCCGTGAAATCGAAGACGCCGTCCTGGTACAGCCTCCCGTCGGCGGCCTTGCTGGTGAGGTCGAAGTCCAAGGCGAGCGCGCCGAGCAACTCCTGGGCGGCGCTGACGCAGCCGAAGAGCTGACCGGTGATGGCATTGAGCACCCAGAACCTCTGCTCGTTCCACCACGTCCGCAGCGCGAGGCTCCGCTTGGCCACGCACACCTCCGCCAGGTGCTGCAGCAGCGAGGATGCGAACGCCGCTGCGGCGGCGGCGGGGCAGGGGAAGAGCGGGACGCCGCGGAGGAAGCAGAGCTGCGGCAGGGTGGCGTAGCAGAGCACCGGGACGGCGTAGAGCGCGGCGAAGCCGAAGTAGGCGTAGCTCATGGCCTGGAGCAGGGAGGCGCGGAGGAGCGGGCGGCAGGCGAGCGGGGAGTGGCGCCTGGAGACGCCGACGGCGAGCATCCCGGACATCCAGCGCTTGTTCTGGACCAGCACGTCGTTGAGGTTGGTGGGCACGCTGCCGAGGAACGCCGGCCGGTGCTCCGGGTAGCAGTAGGCGGACGTCCAGCCACGCGAGAAGAAGCGCTGGTAGCCCGTGAAGTAATCCTCCACCACCGACTGGTACATGAAGCCGACGCCGGTGCCCCAGGCTGTGCCCGCCTCGTACGCGCAGGAGGCCACCCGCGCCAGGGATTCTGGCTCTGGCGGAGCAAGGGGGAGACGACGACGATGCTGGTCACCGCCGCCACCGCCGCGTAAGGATGCCACGAGACAGTCGGAGTGGCCGAACCTTGTCTTGAGCTCGCCGGCATCCATGGAGCTAAAGTCTGTGCTCCCGGGCGGCGGCGTGGCCCCGTACAGCGCGTCTCTCCTGACGTAGAAGCCGGTGCCGGAGAGGAGAGGACCCCGGACGCCGTCCAGGCCGAACCATCGGGTCTGATCATGCACGCCGATCATATCGCCGGCGGGTTAACAATGATTGATCGACCATGTATTGTATATATGATGTGCATGAAAATTGCTACTACGATATATCCTAGCTAGCTAATAATACCAACGCACCCCGAAGATGTATCTGAGCTCGTTGGTGTAGATGTCGTTGTGGCTGAGGTTGTGGAACATCTGCGGGAACTGCACGAAGGCGAGGTTCTGCGGCGCCGGCGGGCTGCGGTCGAGGAGGAAGCACATGGCATCCATGGCGGAGGCGCGGTTGTTGCAGGACATGTCGCAGTCGAGGACCAACACGTAGGCCGCGTTGCTCACCACGCCCGACACGCGCAGCTGCATGCATTTATGCGGCCGGCGGCCGGCAAGGAAGCACCATCATCACCATTGATTGAATTATTGCATGATGCCATGATCGATAGTGATATACAGTATAAACGTATATATAGCAGGATCATCTAGCCATGCATGGATGGATGTATTCCCACTAAGCTAAGCTAATTAAGGGAAGGAATAGACGCAAGCACGCACGCACCAGGGCGTTGAGAGCGCCGGCCTTGAAGTGGTGAGGCCACGCTCTCCGCTTCTCGCGGGCTACGTACACCAGCGCCGGCATCTCCTCCTCATCGTCGCCGACGCCGTCTCCCTTAGTACTGATGATCTGCCATGCATTGATGCTTTAAATTTTCTTCATTTGCATCCTGAGATATGTATCATCAGTAGTCAATTCATTGAATCTCTAGCTAGCTAGTTTATAACCTCCACGTAAGCATCGTGATCCTGGCGTTTTGCTTTTGTCCAGCTCCCGGAAATACTCTCGTCCTTCTTGGCCGCCTCTATGCCCGCTTTCAACTTCTCGTATAATTTCTGAAAAAAAAACCGCAGGTCATCACACAATAATTCTTCTTCTTTCATCTTAAGATAAGATTACATGTCCCTCCATATAGTATAAAACTCATGTACGACAACACTGGTCGTAGACTACTCGTAGTAGTGCACTACACACCCGATCTTGTGTGTTGTCTCTTTGTCGCAGGTAAAGTTAAATGTGCCCTTAACACATTCATCCTTGGATTCATATCGAGAAGTGTGTGTTTGAAATGCGAATCCATAGGTTTTGGTGCTCAGAGCACGTGCCCTTAAGGTAATAAAAAAAACCGCCTGTCGGCTGTCGCATTCATGCGTGTCAATTATGTGACATGGATTTCCAAACTTTGACCGAGCGGCTCCTATCCGGTAAACGCCGTGCCAGCCTGGTCCTCTTTTACCTCTGGCCTACTCCTACGTGCCCAAAGGAAAAAGAAAAGTCAAAACACTAGAGACGTACCTTGACTCTTGTTCTCTCCTCGGCGATCTCCTCCCGGCGATCGCCTCCGCCGCCGTCGTGGGCGTCGTCGCCGGCGAAGTACCTGTCGGGCCACGGGCACTGCACGGAGTGCCTCCTGCAGAAGGGCACCCAGGCCCTGGCGAAGGCGTAGGCCTTCCTGGCGGCGAGCAGCGTGAGCGGCGACCCGGCGTCGTCCGACAGGTACACGCTGAGAGCGCCGCCGGGGTAGTCCAGCGCCATGGCTGACACCACCGTGTTGACCACCCCGAGCGGCGGCTCCTTGTCCGGGTCGGCCGTCACCACCAGCACGTCCACGCGCGGGAGCGCGCCGCGGGGCACCGCCTCCAGCAGCCGGTCCGGGAACGCGGCGCGCGTGACGGGACGCCACAGCCCCGACTGCGATAGCGCCCACAGGAAGAGCAGCGTCAGGTCGGCCAGCGCCATGGCCACGTGCCGGGACCAGGACGACGCGCTTCCAGCGGAGTCTGAGAGCAGCGCCATGGCGCGGTGGGCGATGACCGCGGCGACGAGCGCGGCGTGGACGGCGGCCATGGCGCGGTTGGCGGCGACGAGGTGCCTGTTCACGTGCACCGCGCTCAGAGGTAGCGATGGCGGTGGCGCTTGCGAAGAATCCGGTGTTGTGGCCTTCTCGCCATCCTCCATGACTGACGATGCTACCTAGTGGCCTAGCGCTGATCAAGCTATGCTATGCTAGGCCTATAGCAGAGTGCGTGTCTACGTCGTAGAGCCCGTTCGGCTGGGGACGGCTGGCTGGCTGGGCTGGCCAGCCCTCTCACACGAACATTGTTTATTTGAACCAATATATTTTTCTCACGTAAATGAATCAACAACGATATCAGCCAATCGAACATGCTGTATGTGTGTAACGATGCGATGCAATCCAACAATCCAGCATCTGCGTGTGTATATATATATATATATATATAAATATCACGGCATCAGTCTCTAGATCGACCGGATCGGATCGAACAAGTTAAAAGCGGTATATGGAACCTTCCATTAGTACATATGCCAAACTGCCCCATTTTCGAAAGTGATACTATATATATGTGGTAAGTAGATTCTAATGCTTTTATTTAGGGGCTGTTTGGTTCTTACGGGAACTCCTAAAATTTCTGTCACATCGAATGTTTGGACGCATGGATGGAGTATTAAATATAGATTAATTACGAAACTAATTGCACAACTTACGACTAATTTGCGAGACGAATCTTTCAAGCCTAATTAGTTTATGATTTGACAACGTGGCGCTACAGTAAACATGTGCTAATGATAGATTAATTAGGCTTAAAAATTTGTCTCGAAAATTAGCCTCCATCTATGTAATTGGTTTTGTAATTAATCTATATTTAATATTCCTTATTAGTATCTAAATATTCAATGTGACATGAATTTTAGGAGCGACTAAAAACAAAACACCCCCTTACCTGCAAAGCTTATATATACCCCCACTATCCAAAAAATAAAATAAAATAAAATATATATGCAATTCTAGGTTTAGGATTAATCGAACATGTTCTTTTTAAAATTTGACTAATTAAGTTAGAACTAATATCAATATTTATATTTCTAAATAGATTTACTATGAAAATATATTTTATAGTTAACGTAATGATACTTATATTATAAATATTAGTACTTTTTATAGGTTTCATCAAACTTAAATTTATTTATTTGACTCATCGTCGGGAAGTGAGAATTGTATTTTTTTTGAATGAATAGTATATATTCCCGTGACCTTTCGTGAAATACAAGTCACGTGGGTGAGATGTGTGGATGCAATTCTACACAGCAAGTCACAGTACGTGATGGATCGAAAGGGTCTGTCTACTCATATGTCAGGTGATTTATGACAAATGGTCACCCTAGTGAGCCAGATTCAGAAATCACTCGATTCTACGCATAAACCAGAATCGAGTGATTTCAATCTAGGAATCATCCGATTTTCAAAAACCACAAGATCAAAATCCAAAGGCAAGAAAAGTTAACAAAAAAATAATACAAATTATATAAACAAATATACAGATTTTTCCTATGTAAGGCAAATTGGAAGACATTAAAATATAACAGAAAGAAATAAAAAATAGAAGATTGCCAAATAAAAAAGAAGAAAAAAGAAAGAACAATATAGATTTTTTCTATGTAAGGCAAATTTGAAGAAATTCAAATATAACAGAAAGAAACACAAATTCCAAAAAATCAGATTTACAAATATAACAGATTTTTCTATGTAAGGCAAATTTGAAGAAATTCAAATATAACAAAAAGAAACACAAATTCCAAAAAAGCAGATTTACAAATATAACAAATTTTTTCTATGAAAGGCAAATTTGAAGAAATTCAAATATAACAAAAAGAAACACAAATACCAGAATGCAGATTTAAAAACAGATTTACACCACTCAAAAAAGAAATTTACACCGAAGAAACCAATGTAAAGAATGTAATGAGAGACTATAATTGAGAAGTGGCATGAACTCAACACAATTAACAGTACATGTACAAGCAAGAAACCAATTGAGAAGTGGCTGGAATTGCAACCTGCTAGCAAAAAAACACTCAACCTGTACAATGAATAAGCATACATATCGAAAGAAACACAACAGAAATTATAAGAAGACATATATTACAAACCAACATCCATAACTAGGAATATAGAAACCACAAGTTCAGATACACACGACATTCTATTAAGTGTTCATTACTTAACTAATTGAACAACTTAAACAGTTCAACTACTACTTGCCATCACCTTGACCACAATAAGTTCAGAGAACCAAATACTTCAACAAAGTTGAATTAAACAACACTAGACGGCCAAACCTTGCGCACACAAGCAGACTGATAAATGTCATCACCTACAGAGCTTGTCTCAATGTTCAGCACACGGTAAAAACTCATAAGTTCACCTCCCACTTTGAAAGAACGACCAACCATCAACTGAGCCACCTGAGCGTCGACAACCAACACATAGACAGTCCCATTCACACCATCCAAAGCATACTTGAACTTCAGCAGAGATGATGCACCACGGTTCTGCCGAACAACACGAGCTACCAGCTTCACCTTGTCTTCATTTTTAGACCCTTAGCAACAAGAAGTCTGTTTTGAGCTCAGGAACTAAATCCAGATGCTCAACAACAAACAATGAAACAATTTCATTGTCCACAGTTGATTTCCCTAAAAAAGAAAAACATATAATAAATAAATGAAACATAATACATAAAAAATATATCATTTACTGTGGGGAGAACGTTTGTTCTAAAAAATAAAAAAAACAATATGGGATAGATAGATTAGATCAATTTCTAATTAAAAACAAAATAGAATAAAATGAAACTATAAAAAACAGAGAAAACATACTTCCACAGCAGCCATGCCTTTGAACACCTGACAAAAAAAATTCTTCAGTTATAATAGATATAGAATAACATAAAACCAACAATTATAAAAAAAAATGCAGTGCACATTTCATATGAAATGAACACACACAAAAACTGCATTGTCACTGAAACTGAAACTTAACATTACAGAATCAAAAGTTGACAGTGACCATGATACATCCAATTATCAGAATTTAACAGCACAATAACTGAACAAAAGTTAACAGATAACAAAAAACTGACAATGCAACCCCAGCTTATATTCATTGAAGAAATACTATATACAAAACTACTCCTAGACCTCCTCCACATCATCATCATCTAACATAGTCGGAAGCTAGTAGCGACTGAGAGGACAGACACTGTTATGACTAAGCCACTCAAAGATGCAATGCTGGTGGAAGACATGGGAGCACGACATGGCCATCTCTGCGCTAGCTGCGTCGTCCTCCTGATATCGGTTGGCCAAAGCCTTAAGGCAGATGGCACAATCATCGTCCTTGGTGACCACCACCTCTTTGAGACCCATGATGGCCTTGCTGGAGACGGCAATGCAAGCAGGAGTGGCTTGGCGGGGTGGGGATAGGGGCAGAGGTGGAGATGAGGAATGAAATTGCCACAACCAGAGGCGGCTTGTTCATGTATGGGCCTCGCCTCTGTCGTGTGTAACGCACTTCTTCCATCTAAAGTGATTTTTTATAAAAAAAAGTGAAACCTAAACTGAAAACTTAAGCATGAACTAGCAAAACATGAACCTGAACAAAAAAGACATTGCAAAAATATTACTTTTTCAGTCAAAACAATGAAAACTAAAAAATTGAAACTAAAGAAAAATTAAAATTAAAACAAAACTTAAATAAGAATAAACCTTAATGTAAACCTAAATAGAAACATCAAATAAAAGACATAGAAGAAATGCAGATAAGTTTACAGATAGGATACATATAAGTTTACACCAATAAAAAAAATTAAAGTGACCAAATCAATGTAAAAAAAAGAGACACTACAATTACATAACAAAGAAACAGTGAATGGAATAAATCTCTACAAAAACACATTGACCACACAAAAGATAATCTGCACACTTCCAGATGCAACTAAAAAATCATCCTAAACAATAAGCTTCACATACAATGGTATGCAGTAACTAAATAATCAAATAATTGAAGAAAATCATGCATCTAAGTAAACAAACCAGGATACCCATCTATCCAGATCAAATCTAAAAACGCATAAGTTTACACCACTCCAACAAAAAATTTACAGTGAAGAAATCTAAGTAAAAATTGTAAGAAAAACATATAAATACAGTACAAAATTAATAAAAAAAACTGTACCCCAGTATACAATAACACAAGAGAAAGAAAAATTATACCTACTACTATAAATCTTCGTTCACTACAATTATGACTTTGAAATTAAAAAAAGTAATGAAACTATAACAGAAAGAAAACAATTATGAAGCAGAATATTACAAACATATGGGACTACTACAGACAATAAGAGAACTAAAAACTGAATACAAATAAAAAAATCTATCTAATCCAACAACAACACAAAAGATCAGTAATACAAAAATAAAGAATATAGAACACATACCTTGTGCAGCCTCCAGACAGTGAAAAATTAATCCTGGAACAAAATAAAAATTAAAAGTTAATCATATGAACTAAGGGAAAAAGGAAATAATAGATAAAAGAAGAGAACATACATCAAAATGGATAAAACCACAGACCAACGGAATACAAAATAATGTGAAAACAACCAACTATCACATCTATAAAAGAACAGGAAAACAAAAAGTAGAAAAGATGAAGAGATAAAAAAAGATATATGAAGATCACAGTAAAAAACCCCTAAATAACTAGTAGTAGTAGATGAACGACAACAGAATAGGAAAAAAAAAACAGAAAGAGATCAAATAACACTGTACATGAACCTGACAAACACCATTCCTCGCACTAAAGAAACATAAAACTACCCGAACCCATGAATCTAATAGAGTCAACAAAGACTGATCAACCAAAGAAGCAAAGGTGATAATAGTGAAATAAGATCAGTCGCACATATTGTAACAACATATTATGAGTATGACAGAACGAACAAGAAAAAGAAAAGGCAAAGAAAAGAGATCAAAGTATAGAAAGA